ATATTCATCAATGCAGCAATTGTTATTGATCAAGAGGAAAATCCAAAAGGAACTCGAGCCTTTGGTTCGATCGCTGGCGAATTGAGACATTTGAATTGAACTAAGGTAGTCTCGTTAGCTCCCAAAGTATTCTTATGCTACTATACATTAGCTCCCGAAGTATTCTAATGCTACTATACATTAGCTCACGAGGTATTCTAATGATAGTAGATGAGACAATGGTATAGTATTTAAAATGGATCAATTAATTAGCGGATTGTGTCTCACGCATATGCCTTTCATTTCCATTTCATAAAAAAAGAAGAAATAAAGAAATAAGGAACATGTTGATTATATCAAGGTCAGGAGATACTAATAATTATAGTTTGTCATGGGTAGGGACACTATTGCTAATAGAATAACTTGTATAAAAAATGCCGACATGGATAAAAAAAAAAGGGTTCGAAAAGTATCTACCAATATAACTGAAAACATTGTTAAAATAATTCTACAATAAGGTTTTACTAAAAACGTTAAGAAACATCGGGAAAACAACAAATCTTTCATGGTTTTAACCCTACGACATAGAAGGAATAGGAAAGGGACATATAGAAAGACTTTAAAACGTATAAGCAGATCCGGTCCACGAATCTATTCTAAGTATCAACGAATTCCTAGGATTTCAGGTGGAATGGGGGTTGTAATTATTTCTACTTCTCGAGGTATAATGACAGATCGAGAGGCTCGACAAGAAGGAATTGCAGGAGAGATTTTATGTTCTCTATGGTGATCCTTCTGATATACGAATTTTATCCGTAAGTTCCTATTTCTTTTATGGAAAAAGAGAGGAGAGACAAGTTGGCTAATACCACTTATCTTCTATTAGTGGATACTTCAAGGAAGGGGATTACCTGGAATGAAAGAACAAAAATTCATTCATGAAGGTTTAATTACTGAATCACTTCCTAATGGCATGTTCCAAGTTCTCTTAGATAATGGAGACCTAGTTATATGTTATGTTTCAAGAAGGATCCGACGTAGTTTTATACGGATAGTACCAGGTGATAGAGTGAAAATTGAAGTAAGTCATTATGATTCAACCAGGGGACGTATTATTTATAGGCTTCGCAACAAAGATTCGACTGATTAGACGGCTTCTGAAAAATTCCTTTCATTTCTTCCATAAGGATATCGAGATTCCAAAGTTCAAGAAACTTCATTTTTTCTTCCTTGAAAGAAATTCATAATTCAATTAAGTAAGGAGCGACAAATATGAAAAGAAGGGCCTCTGTACGTAAGATTTGTGAAAAATGTCGACTGATTCGTAGGCGAGGACGAATTATAGTAATTTGTTCCAATCCGAGACATAAACAGAGATAGGGGTGATTTTTCTATTTCTAAAAGGGGACTTCACAGGGTGCCCAACAAATAAAGGATCTATTTTTGACATGAAATGGATATATCCGTATATCTTTGACTCATATTTATTAGATAATAAAAGAGGAAAAAACCTATAATAAGAATTGGTTCACGTAGGAATGGACGTATTG